GCAGGGCCAGGCCAGCCCCGCCGCCGGGGCCCCGGCCGAGGGCGCGGAGCTGCCCTTCCTGGGCGACTTGCATCTGGGCCGGGGCTTCAGGGACGCGGGTGAAGCCGCCAGCATCGCCCGCAGGTACGGACCCTGGTTCAAGGGCAAGGATGGGAGCGAGAGAGCCAAGCTGGGCGACTACGGAGGCGGGGCCTGGAGCCGGGCCCTCAAGGGCAGGGTTGTCCGGGAGAAAGATGAGGAAAGAGGTAAGAGGGGTGAGCATCGGGGGTGGGGGTGGGCGGGAGAAGGCAGGCGGGGTGATGATATAATAACAGCCTCAGTTTTCAGGGTGTAATAATAGGAACCAGCCATCAGATAGTTATAGCTACAGATGCACAGTAGGTTTCCTTATGAACCCCCATTTCAGAGGAGAAAACGGAAGCTCAGAGAGATTTAAGTGACTCGCCCAAGGTCACACAGCTTGTAAACAGGCAAGCGTGGATTGGAGCCTCACATCTGTCAGAGCTCAGCCTGACCCTCCCCTGCAGCCTTTTCCAGGGCTTGTTAAATACGCGCAAGATTAAAACAGCCAGCATTTATTGAGCACTTACTATGAGCCAGATACTCTTCCATGTATTGAATTATTACCATGACTCTCTGTCTTCAGATAGTCATCGTATCGGTAGGACACCAGTCATATTGGATTGGGGCCCACCTGACTCCAGCATGGCCCCATCACTTAATAAATTACATCTGCAATGATCCTGTTTCCGAATAAGGGCACATTCTGCGGTATTGGACTTAGGACTTCAGCGCACCTTTTTTCTTTTCTGGAGGGGACACACTTCAACCCATAACGCCTCTAGTTTTATTCCCACTTTTCAGGCAGGACAACAGGAATCTCCAGGAGCATGAGTAATAAATAGCACCAGGTGCCCTGGCCGGCGAGGCCCAGTTGGTTGGGCGTCATCGACTGCACCAAAAGGTCGCTGGTTCGATTCTCAGTCAGGGCACATGCCCAGGGTTGTGGGCTCGATCCCCAGTGGGGGGCGTGCAGGAGGCAGCCGATCCACGTTGCAATCTCACATCGATCTTTCGCTCTCTCTCCCCCTCCTTCCTCTCTCTCATATTTTTTTTTAAAAAAAGAAAAAAGTGTGAGCATGCCAGCACTTCCCCCTTCACGCGGGTCATCGCAAAGATCCCCAGAGTCAAGAAGCAGCGAGCGGTAGTTCAGAACCTAGGCCAGGGTGCGTGGTTCCAACCCTGGCTCCACACGTGCAGGCTGTGTTTCCTTGGGCAAGTGACTCAACCTCTCTGGGCCTCAGTTTCCTCTTCTGTATAGAATGGGGATATTAGTGCTTATCTCATAGAATCATTGTCAAGATTCAGTGCGTGAAACACTTAGCAAACTCTATGTCCGAGTTAAATAGTAATAATCGTAAGAACATATGAGAAAGGATTTTATAAAGGGTGGAGCGCCATCTTCGTGGGTGAGAATTACTACTTACCATGAGGCACCGGAACACATTTACTACGTTAAGAAAATGAAGTGTGTGGCTTAAAATTGGGTGGAAGCATTCACCTGGGCCCACAGTAGAGGCACACTGTAAAGCCCGCGCACGGCACTGTGAGTGGTCAGTGTGTTACTTCCTTGCCTTCACTTTGTGCCTGTGACCCTCAGTCTCTCCTGCCTGCTTTTCTGCTCAGAGGAAGGAATTGGTACCAAAAAGTCAATCAGGCCTCGTAGCCAAGGCGCCCTGCTTGCTCCTGTCACCCTTTCCCCTTGGACCCCAGCCGAATCTGACTCTTCTCCTCTCCCCAAAGCCAAGTACATCGGCTGCTACCTGGATGACACCCAGAGTCGGGCCCTGCGAGGCGTGTCCTTTTTTGACTACAAAAAGATGACTGTCTTCCGTTGCCAGGACAACTGTGCGGAACGGTAGGGCCCCGACGTCCCAGGCTCCGTTCATTTCGGACCCCTTCCTTCTCAGGTTCCTGCCGGCGGTGGTCTCCCTTTCCATGGGGGGGGTGATGGAGGGTGAGACCACGACCACAGGGAAAGTGCAATGCAAGGGTGTGTGTGCGTGTGTGTGTGTGTGTGTGTGTGTGCACACCCATGCGTGCAAATGAGCAGGATTCTCCTGGAGTTGGTCTGTGGGCGTGTGTGACTGTGCGGTTGTGTGAGGCTGTGCCTAGGAGTGAATTTACAGTGCACAGTACGCAGGGCCAGCTGGTTACGTTTGTGAGCCTGATGCCAACACATAGTTAGGTTTCAATAATAGTGGCTGTGTGTGCAGGAGTCTTTGTGAATCGTGCGTGTGGGGGGGAAAAGCGTGTGTGGGTGTTCGTGTGCATGCAGGTGTGAATCTGTGAGCAGGAGCCTTGGGAGATGTTCCAGGGAAGGTGAGACAGGAGCCCGGGTATCAGGGGACTTAATGGTTTCCCAGCTGAGAAAGCCCTTGTTCTTCCCCCCAGGGAGAAACACTCACCTGTGCAGACCATGCTTTTAATCTAAGAGGGAATGATATTTAGACTAGAACATACACTGGGGAAGGGAGCTGACTTTCCAAGAGTGGATGAAACCCCAAAGGACTGGCGAGCAGGGATGGGAGCCCTCGGTCCAGGCCTGGGCACCAGCGTTGCTGCCCCCGGGGGCACCGTGGGGCTAAGCTGACCTTCTCCTTCCCTGTGTCCTGGGTCCCCTGACCTGTGGTGGCTTGTGGAGAGGCCTCTAACATGTTCACCTGGCTGGCTCTGGAGGTCCCAGCGCCGAAGGATGCAGCTGCATGGCTGGAGTGGAAATGGGCAAGGGGGTGACCAAGGGACTCTTAGAAATCACTGTCCCTTCCATAACCAGCTTCCTGAGTAAGTGGAAGTCCTGAGCCCAGGACCCCCTCCAGCTTGGGAAAGAGTCTGAGCCTTGATGATATCAATTCGTTCATTTATCTCTTGAACTGTGGGGAGACAGAGGTGGATTCCACAGAGCCCAAGCCCTTGTGGAGCCCACGGCCAGGCGAGGGGACAGGCACGTAAGCAGGAGAGGGCAATACAGTGAGATGAGAGTCGAAGTGGAATAAGTCGCAGACCGTGGAAATGCAGAAGAGCCCCCAGCCTGCCTGGGGCGTCAGGAGAGACCTCTCAGAGCAGGTGACAGCCAAGGTGAGCTTCAGAAAACAAGTCAGACCAGGCCGGTGTAGCTTAGTGGTTGAGTGTCGACCTGGGAACCAAGAGGTCACTGGTTCGACTCCCAGTCAGGGCACATGCCCTGGTTTCGGGCTTGATTCCCAATAGCGGGCGTGCAGGAGGCGGCCAATCAACGTCATCGATGTTTCTCTCTCTCTCTCTCCTTCTCCCGGTTTCTCTAAAATCAGTAAAAACATATATTTTTTAAAAACTTGGAATTCAGTTGTGCAGCTCAGCGGCTATCTTTTGGCTGCCCGTGTGTGCTTTCAGGCGCTGGAGACGCGGAGACGCGCCCGCCACAGGCCTGCCCTCGGGCAGGGACAGGTGGGGCCACTAGAATAGCGGTGGCCTACCCTCCGGGGGGCTCTCGCTCTGTGCCACGCACTGTTCTCGGCACTTTGCAAATATTAACTCTTGAACCCCCACGAGACCTTCTACGCGGTAGGAATGTTCTGATCCACACCCCACACGTGAGGAAGCCGGGGGGTGGGGGTAAAAGGAGGCCTGGGGCTGGGCTGGGCCTGCTGATGAGGCGCGGGGGTCATAGAGGCCAAGGGAGCGGAGCTCGGCTGCTCTCGTTCTCACAGCCAGCGGCACGTTCGAATCACCCCGGGGAACTTGATTGTTTTATTATTTTCTTAGATCACTTTTTTTAATTGTTTAATTACAGTCGACATACAGTATTGTATTAGCTTCAGGTGTGCGCCCCAGTGATTAGACATCACGAACTTGCTAAGTGATCATCCCGATAAATCTCGCCCCACCTGACACCACACGTAGTTATTAGAATATTATTGACTGTATTCCCTGTGCTGTGCTTACATCCCCGCGACTGTCCTGTTACTACTACCAGGGACCACTTCTCAGCCCTTTCGCCTTTCCCGCCCGACGTCCCGACCCCCTCCTGCCTGGCGGCCATCAGAATGGTCTCTGTATCCGGGAGTCTGTTTCTGTTCTGCTTGTTATTTATTCTGCTTTTTTAGATGTTTCCTGGAATAAAGGGGCTGGACTCTGCACATACGTTTGGCTCATGGCTCTAGGCAGGGAGAAGCGATAGAGGGGTGGGGTGGGGGACCACAGGATGTGAGGGGGGGTGTGTGTGAAGCGGCCGAGTGCTGAGGGCGTATACAGGCGGTGTCAGTGTGGACACGGCGTGCCTGTGGACGGGTGGACGGGGGTGTGAGACATCAGGCGGGGCTGAAGGCAGGCGGGTGGTCCCTAGGGGCCCCGTCTCCCAGGGCCGGGTGAGTGTCCCTGTCCCCGGGGTCTTGCTGGTGGCAGGTGCCCTGGCCTGACAGCAGCCTTCCCCAGGGGTTACCTGTACGCCGGGCTGGAGTTCGGCGCCGAGTGCTACTGCGGCCACAAGATCCAGGCGACAAACGTGAGCGAGGCGGAGTGCGACATGGAGTGCAAGGGCGAGCGGGGGAGCCTGTGCGGCGGTGCCAACCGCCTCTCCGTCTACCGGCTGCAGCTGGCCCAGGAGTCGGCCCGCAGGTGTACGTGAGTTGGCCCCCGCCCCCCTCTGCGGCTCCGTCCTCGGCCGGCCCACCCGCCCGCACGTCTGCCTCGCACCTCNCCTGCCCCAGGCTCGCCTCCCGCCCCACCCCGTGCGGAGCCGTTTGCTCCAGCCACCTGGAGTGTTTCCGCCTGCCCTCCTCCCTCCCATCCCGAGCCGCCTCCTGGGCCGCCTGCACCCCTCGTCACACCATCACACCCGCCTTCCTGCTTCAGCTGAGCTACCGCCTGAGCTCGGCCTGTCCCTCCTGGTTTCCTGAAAGCAGCTTTTCTGTAACAATTGATGACAGTGGCGATCATGACAACCACAAGCAATGCCTAAGTGCCGTATGTGGAATAGTACATCTAATTCTCACACTGACGCTTCAAATAGGCACTGTTATTCACCTACTCCCATTTTACAGGTGAGGAAACTGAGGTTCAGTGTCATATAAACCCCAGAGCGTTTAAACCAACTCCAGAGCCTAGGTCTTTAATGCTGCCCTAAAGAGAATGTATCCCTTCCTTGTCAGTGCTTCAGTCTTGTTGGAAAAGTCTTCAGTTTCCAACTTGAGGGAGGAAGGGAGGTGAATTGGAGAGGACAGGAGCCAGCCCTGTGCTGTGGACACCGTCCCACTGTTCCCTCTCCAGCTGTTTAATAGCAGTTAGTATCTGACTCTTGAAATCTGCTGTGTTCCAGGCACCGTGCTAAGCCCACTGCAGGCCTTTCGCATTGACCTTCCCTACAGCCCTTTCAGGCAGCGATGTTACCATCGTGAATTTTACAATGAGAAAACCGAGGCTTAATGCATTTATGTAAACCTGCCCCAGGCCACACAGTCTAACTGAAGTGGACCTTCAGACCTGTGAAAAGAGCTAATGGCAAGGATCGTCATGGTTAAGCTTGGGAGGCAGGCACAGGAATCCACAACCACGTCTCTAACCCGGGGGCCAGCGCTTTGGAACTTGAACGTGCCCGTGGACCCTGTGGGGACCTTAAGCGCACGATCTGATCTGATCCGGCAGGTCCAGGTGGGATTCTGCATTTCTAAGGAGCTCCCAGGTGATGCTAGGCTGCTGGTCCAGGGACCACACTTTAACAAATAATAAGGCCTCAGGCCCCAGCAGAGATGCCGAGGCCCGCCGGAGTGTAGGCTTGCTCACGCAGGCAGGCCCGGCAGGCCTTCACGCCTGTCTGCGCGCAGAGAGAAGTAGGTCCCTGCCACGTGAATGCCATTGCTTGTAAAAATCCACCGTTGGTTCAGCGCGACAGTGTATTCTGTTTTCCAAATGCCATGCTTCTGAAGCCCCCTTCAGGCTTTGCTCTGCGGTAGGGTCGAGTGTGCTGCCAGTTTGCAAAGGGGCCGATGCCTGCAAACCGAGGCCCCAGCCGCCTCCCCGTGGGGCGGAAGGCCGGCCTGGCAGAGGACTCAGGTGGCGTGTGAGATCCAGGCCGGAGAGCGTGCGCACAGCCGGTTCCTGGCTCGGCCGTTCATGTAATGAGTTTTTAATTTGATGGCAAACTTGTCATATTCATCACTGAACCCTTTATGCCAATATTTGTGTTATTTTGATGGTGGCTCTGATCATCTGAAGAGATGGCCTTAGTGTCACTGGTATTTAGAGGGAAAGCTGCTGCCACTAAAACATCCCGGTGGATAGAGATGAGCCAGAAAATAAGAACTAGGCTGCGTGTGTCATTAGCCACATATTGGCCAGACGTCCTCTTGGTTAATGTTCGGATTGGACATTCCCCCCCACACACGCACACACCTGAGATCACCTGTTATAACAACATGCTCACAGATCATCAGAGATTTTTCAGTATAAGTCTCAACACACAAAGACCACTAAACAAAGGTGTTTTGCCCTTGTAGCAGTAGGAGGGCTGGCTGGTTGCTGCTGAGCAGTCCCTGAGGTGTCCAAGAGAGAGACAGGCCCAAGACCATTGGGGGGGGGGTCTGTGCAGGGGATTGCGGGGATTCTGTCTGAAGGAGCCAAGGGAGCAGCCCTTGAGCCGAATCTTACTCTAAGGAGATTTAAAGTGGAAAGGGAGAGCCGTGTATTCTAGCCATGAGCAAAAGTCCAGGGTCAGCAAAGATCAGGTGTTAAATGCCGCATTGGAAGGACCTTCCTTGCTGATGTCCCATTTTACAGTTTTGGAAACTGAGGCCCAGAGAGCAGAATGCCGTTGTTTATAAAAATCCACCCTTGGTCTGCTCGATAGTGTATTCTGTTTTTCAGATGCCATGTCCCTGAAGCCCCGTTCCAGCTGTGCTCTGCGGTCAGGTCGAGCGTGCTGGCTAAATCGAGCCTTCTTGGGGGCAGGCTCGCAGAGGAGGGCTGTTGGATTAGGGCCTTGAAGGACACCTAGGATTTTGCCTGGTGGAGAGAGAGGAGGAGGGTACACGGAGTCAAGACAAGTCGCCAAGAGGTGGGAGAGGACCCCAGGCCAAGGGAACAGGGTATGCAAAGCCTAGAGGTGATTTCGGGAAGCAACGGGCAGGCACGACTTTTCCAAGGCCACAGTGCCTCTTAGGCACCGAGTGTGGGATGGAACCCAGGCCTCTGGCTTCTATTTTGGGAGCCCACTCACCTTGACCTCTTGTATTGAATTCAGGACCCTGGCTCCTCTCTTTTTAGGGGAACTCCTTGGCTCCAGCTTAGCTCGTTTTCTCCCTGACCCCCGATTTCTCCTCTGCCTTGATTCCTGGCTCTAACTAATACGGCATCTCCAATGTCTTTGCTCTGACCCAGTTGGAGCACCCCTGGCTTCCTGGGATCTGATTTATACACAAATCAATGAAAAAGGGAGGCTTCCAAGTCACGGGCACACGACACTCCCTTGTAGCCCATCAGTCAAAGAAATGACCTGCAACCTCCAGGAAGCAGGTCGGATGGAAACCAGAGTCATCGGTCGGTATGAACACCGTGTCGTAACTGCCTCCCTGAGCAGTGGCACCGAGCTCTTAGTGACTGCGAGGTTCCAGTGGAGGCTTGTTCCCTTCCGAGCCCCACTCGGGCGGGCGGGGGACGTCCAGCTCCCACAGCAGGCGCCCTGCTGCTCCGCCTTGGCACGGACTCTCAGAAGACCTGAGAGATGAACTTCCTTCTTGGCTGGGTCACAGTTTTCACAGTGGGTTTGCTAAATGTGTCGGCCAGTGTAGCTCTCCTCCCAGGGCCAGAGACCTGCCGGTGATTTGAGAACATTTGGGCTGGACAGGATGTGGCCACAAGCATCGTTTGCCTGAAAGATTCTTGCAAGATTTGTGTCGCGAGGCTCCTTAGAACTGCCCAGAACATCCATGTGTCCGGCCCCTGGGTGGCTGTCCATGGTGCTGACCATCCTTTGGTGCTGCCCGAAGTCCCCATGACCGCAAGCCGGCCTCTCCCAGGGCTCTGCCCTTTTTCTTCCAGGTGTTTCCTTTCTATCTCGGTGAATTTTTTAGGAAGTTTGCACTGTCACAAGGATCAATAGATCCTTGACGTATGGTTCACAATTCACATAGTGGATTTTGTGGACCATTGTTAGTTCCGGCAATTTTTTTATTTTTATTTTTGTCTTCCAAAGTTAGAAGGGGGATTTTGTTCAACGCTTGTGATTTATGCTCAGGGATACTCCATTCTAGGCGCTTCTGTTGAGGGGAGGCTCGGATGATCCCGGGGAAAGTCCCATGTTGATGGACAGACCACGTCGAGCCCCTTTGCCAGGCCTGGAGGCCTCTCCTCGCCCTTGTCTGGGACTTCTGGATTTTATCACTCCCGCGGGCCTTCATGAATTATGCGGTGCAGAGCCAAGGAGATGACAACTAGAAGGGTTTTCCTCCCTCTTCCTCACGATGGGGGGAATGGGTGAGCTGTTCTCCCCAGCATGAAATCCAGGAGGGCCGTGGGGGTCCTGCGGGCTTTGCAATCAGGCAGACGTTTCTATGCCAGCTCACCTTCTCACTTGCCTGCTGTGTTGACTTTGGCCAAGCCATGTATCCTTTTTGAGGCTCCAGTGCCTCATCCGTCAAATGGGGGCAATCCTAACCTTTAAAGATCGCTGCGACCGCCCAGTGAGATGAAATCGGGAAAGCATCCAGCACAGTGTCCGTTGTTGTAAACTAACCCCCACCCCTCACCGTCTTCCTAAAATGACGACTCCCCGACTCACTCTGAGCAGCACCCAGTTCCAGCGACTTAAATTTGCAGGAGTCCGCGGGAGACTTCGGGGGTGCCCCCAAAATGGCTGAATTCTCCTCAGACAATTAGGCTCTTTGTATAATTCAATCTCTCTCTGATTATAGGTAGCTGTTAACAGTTCCCAGCTCGCTGCCTTTCTCCCTGGCCTGCATCTTTAATGCAGCGGAGCTTGGCCTAATTACTGGGGGGG